ATTTTATTTGGTTGTAATGTGCGACATCGCTACATGGTGCAGCTGTGATTCAAATTTTGGGTGACCGTAAAACCAGGGGCTGAGTCTCTGCCACACTTGAAAAGTAGCTGCCAAACCTTGCACACTATGCGAGAGTTCAGTTGGCTTCTACCCTGTCAACAACCCCAAGACTAAAGGGAAAAATTTATAGTTTGGTTTTAAAATCTATCTTTTGTGAAGCCGGTCATGGAGCTTTTCTGACACACCTTGTACTTTCCAGACTCATCCAGGATAGATGAACATCTGTTGAGTTACCATCGTGCAAACATTTTTGGGGATTGTTTTACCATAGCCATATGCACTAAATAAAACTCCCTTCACATATTTTGTAATCTATTTTTTAAAGTATGAGCACCTACTCTTACTCTCTAGTTGTCAAAAATGGGAGAATATCATTCAACATAATTTTGATGAAGCAAAAAGACTTTTGCCACAGTTCTCAATACAAGACGCAACGCATAATTGCTCCAAGCTTTTTGTCACTCCCAGTACGTTTACATCATCACAAGCCGGTCATGGAGCTTTTCTGACACACCTTGTACCTTCCAGACTCATCCAGGATAGATGAAAATCTGTCGAGTTACCATCGTGCAAACATTTTTGGGTAAGAACTATTTTTGTGTACCTTGAAATGTGCAAAGTTGATCCTCCACCAGTGCATTGTAAATGCTAATTTGCGTTAGATGCTATCCCAAAGCAATATCATTGATATTTACATTAACCTTCATTCAATGTTCATACAATGTAGGTGTCGTGAACTTACACTCTCTTGCATGCCACTCTTAGGATTACTTTGTTTTTAGTGGACTCGTTATAGTCCATTCACATTTTATTTGCCTGAAATGCTCGCCCAAATCCTACAACTTTGTGTAACGAAAGGCTGTTTGTTAGGTTGGTGTTAACATATAATGTGAAATGCTCTAGACAGCCTAACAGAAGTTCCCATAGAGGTTATGGTAATTATAAAAATTAAGCACACAACACAGAGCAGCAACATTTATTGTACAGAGCATGCACTATACTAGGGCATACAGATAAACTTGACTTTGACTTGACATGCAACAAAACTTAAAAGGTTAATATTGTCTTTGCTCTCTGGGAACAATTAATATTAAAACAACAAAACATGGTACTACGTTGCACCAAAGTGGCATCATCTTCAGTTTATTTTTAATTATGTGTCATTTCTTCCAGTAGACCCCCGCCTTTAACCTTGTAATTAGTCAGTTGTCACTGTGCTGTTAAATGATGTAGTGTATATCACACTGGGCATAGACCACAGAATGGAGTGAGTTGTCACAGTAGAGTAGAACGGACATTCGGACTTGCATGTTAAAAGTAAAGGCCATAAGACCATCTCCAAGCAGCTTGACATTCCTGTGACTACATTTGCACATATTCAGAAGTTTACAGACCATGGGACTGTGGACAACAACTCTGGATGTGGCCACAAGAGGAAAATGTTTGACAAATTGAAGGGATGGATAATATAAATGGTACCTAGGGGCCCGAACAACCTCCAGGGAAATTAAAGATGAACTCCCAGGTCAACATCCGTCAGATCGCACCATCCATCGTTGATGGAGCCAAGGTGGACTTAATGGATGTCGACCACGGTTGCCACTGCTGGTAAAAAGTGAATCATAATTACAATGAGACTGGAATTGGCCACAGTGTACACTAACAAGCCACAAAGATTCTGGGAGAAGGGCACATGGACAGAGAAGACAAAACTGGAACTTAGTTGATTTGGCAAGGCAAAATCATATCTGTGTTGACAGACACAAACGTGAAGCATACCAAGAAAAGAACATTGTACCTACTGTGAAACCTGGAGGAGGGGTTTGGTTATGTTCTGGGGTTGCTTTTGCTACATTTCTCACCGGGTAAAACAAAGACGTGGCTATTGAATGGATTATGCTTGTGATCTACAGCGGGCCAGTACCTGTTTCAAGCACCACATCACTACATCTTCCACGGGGCCGAGGTTTACTCAGATTCTGAGGAGGAGACGTCGAGCTCGTGCGAAAGCGACAGCGAAGAGTCGGAGTGCAGCGGCGATGAGGGAGCAGATGTCAGCGAGCCAGAGGAAGCCGACGGAGCGGCCTGCCTCAGAGACACAATACAAGACTCTTTGGCCAATGAGGCCACAACGAGTTTGCAGACAAACAATACGGCTGAACAAACTCACTGCACCACACAACACCTTTAAACTACCCAGTTGACAAAGCACTCGTTGTCTTTTTATATATATGTATATGTATTTATATATATACATATAAAATGTCTGTTTCATATATTTTCGACTCATCAGCCTATCGTTTTTCATAAAGTTTAAAATGATGTGGCAGTTCATGTGAATATGGAACAAGGTTTTTTTTTTGTTCTGTTGTTCCCGCCCCCCACTTAGTCACGCGCATTGTCGGAAGCATACTACACTCACTGCTTACTGAATAGAACTGGTTGCCATTTTTTTTTTTTTTTGTATTAACGTTTGGGAATGCATCAGTTCATCTACCGCAACTTCTGACAAAAGACAGCAGTTTAAGCTTTAAGGCATGACTTTGTCATCATCAGTCTATAATGTAACATGAACTGTGGTCTAATGTGATGTTTTGCAACTTTTTTATGTCACAGTAGCATGAACATTTGGGTCAAATGCCTGGCTAAGACGAGCCCTCCGATGTCTTACTTGAACATTTTGGCTAACCTGAACACGAACAGTTTGACTCTGGTCTTTCATGAGGGTAAATGCAGCAGATAACAAGTCCTCTTTAAGTTGAAACCAAAGAACATTTCATCAACTTGATCTGATTTCGATATAAGTTCTGTATATTCCTCTTGTCAACAGAGTCTTGGAAAGAGATTATTGAAAAGGTGGTTCCTTCAGATGTGGCAGCTACTTTTTATGGTCAAGCCTCTTATTTTTATACTCAGCTTGGAGACATACTCTGCCAAGGGTAGATGACGGTCTTTCTGTACAAAGTTGTCCTTTGTTTTATTGCGAAGCCTTACTATGTTCACTTAAAATTGAAAAAAAAAAACAATGGCGTCTTCATGAAACCGATTGTTGCTCTTATTTTTCATGAAATATAAAAATAATAATAATAGGACTCTTACCGATAGCCTGCTGCATGTAAACATGTTGGTTGGCTGATCAGATTTATAGTATTTGAGCCTGGTGCCAACTTCATACACATGCTATTTCCGTCTATGGTTGAAGAGTACGGTTTGCCACCATTTGTTACTTCTTCTGGGGTTCTCAGTAAAAATAATGAAAAACAAGTCATTCACCTGTTATTTTTCCACACGGTTATAACTTTCCCCAAATTACATTTTTCCCTGGGCCCAAACGTGATAAAATTGCCACAACATCAACATATAGTGTACATAAACTAATAATAAAGGACATACGGGGCATGAGTTGACTACTGGACTGCCGTCATGAAGCAAAAGGCCAGTCACCAGGAAATTGTATCTCATTGATGGTTGCTAAAGTACCTTCACTTAATTGGAGGCAAATTAAGAACTGAGTTTGACCTATTTTGCGTGCTATTTACAGATCACAAAACCCGCAAAATGGAAAAAGTATGTTCGGAGGTGTCAAAAATTACTCCTTTTGCAACTGTACTTCTTATTGCAATGAATGTCCAGTCCACCGTCTCTAATCTTGAATGGACCAATAAAAGTCCTAGTTCAGTTAGAATTGACAGAATGTTCTCTGAGGTTACAACTGAGTTTAGATTGGCACTGTGGAAGCTGAACTAGTCACTGTAGGAACTCTTACCGATAGCCTGCTGCATGTAAACATGTTGGTTGGCTGATCAGATTTATAGTATTTGAGCCTGGTGCCAACTTCATACACATGCTATTTCCGTCTATGGTTGAAGAGTACGGTTTGCCACCATTTGTTACTTCTTCTGGGGTTCTCAGTAAAAATAATGAAAAACAAGTCATTCACCTGTTATTTTTCCACACGGTTATAACTTTCCCCAAATTACATTTTTCCCTGGGCCCAAACGTGATAAAATTGCCACAACATCAACATATAGTGTACATAAACTAATAATAAAGGACATACGGGGCATGAGTTGACTACTGGACTGCCGTCATGAAGCAAAAGGCCAGTCACCAGGAAATTGTATCTCATTGATGGTTGCTAAAGTACCTTCACTTAATTGGAGGCAAATTAAGAACTGAGTTTGACCTATTTTGGGTGCTATTTACAGATCACAAAACCCGCAAAATGGAAAAAGTATGTTCGGAGGTGTCAAACAAAAATTACTCCTTTTGCAACTGTACTTCTTATTGCAATGAATGTCCAGTCCACCGTCTCTAATCTTGAATGGACCAATAAAAGTCCTAGTTCAGTTAGAATTGACAGAATGTTCTCTGAGGTTACAACTGAGTTTAGATTGGCACTGTGGAAGCTGAACTAGTCACTGTAGGAAGCCACAGAACTGGACATTCTTGTTGGACATTCACCAACACGTATTGGTCCACTCGTGCATTTTTCAGGTACAGTATCTGTACTTGAGTGGTTTTTTTTTTCCCTTTGGGGGGGCGGGGGGCTCAAATTATTAAAACATTGTTGACGGTAAATATGATTATTTATTTTTTACTCAAGTACATTGCAGAGTTTGTATTTTTTTACATTTACTTAAGTAGTTTAATAATTACTTGTATTTGTATTGGAGTATTTTTATGCAGGTGTCTACAGTGTGAGGACACCTCCGATAAAGGGTAGCCAATAGAGGGGTTTTAAATGAGGCACCCCAAAAAATATATATACTCCCCATTTCGCAATAACTTCCACTGGTGTGTCAGCTGATTAGCTTTTGTAATTTATTTGTTAAATAGTAAGAGTCAGAGCCACTGCTGAGTCCGAGCTTGTTGCCGTTCACACGCCAAGCCAGTTGTCGGTGGTAACGTGCCCTCTCGTCGTTGGTCATCGCACAAATGACGTTACGAAGAAGAGGAACGTCACGACAATGTCGTGAAAATGCTGTCATCAATAACGCCAAGCTGAAAACAGCATTAGGTGTTTGACTATGCTCTTATGTTTATAGCCAGTACGTGTACAGCTTTAAATGACAGGTCTCGGCTCACGGCGAAGGTTGGAATGGAAGCTATGGAAGATGACAGCTCGGACGTAAAAGATGACCACAATCATAACTATTGTGCGGGCAGCAGCAGTGGAGTCCAGACCTGTTCAAGCAACCAACTATGCGACGTAACGACGCTCCACCAGCCTATCTGCTTAGCGGTATCGGGAAGGGAAGTGGAGCCAGCTCGGAGGAGTTTACTATGCCGATGCGCGTCTGGTTCCGAGTTCATGGACTCTGACTCGTGCAGCGAGTGCAGCGACGCCGGTGGCGAGACCGAATGCGCGACGCCGGCGGCCGCCTCTGCCCAAGACAAATTCACTCTCGACTCGTCTTCAAAGTTCCGTAAGTCGAAGTTCTCCTGTACACTAACACACTGTCATAGTAAAACACTTCTGAGGTCAAATTGCTGTGGCAAAACGGAATCGTCCCTCTTCCTTCCTAGTTCTAAATGCCATGGCTGTGGAGGACTACCGTAACAACCACTGGCCAAACCTGGAAAAGGCCATTGAGCGCCTGCTCATACACAATCCCACGGACCACATCTCTGTTTCATATGCTCAGATATACAGGTAAGGACTCACATGTACGAGTTTAGCACATTGTCTCTGACATATTAAACAGCAGGTGTCACCGACATGGTGCCGACCGGGTGTGTGTGG